GTGTGGGCGCGTATGACGTGAGAGGAGGAGTGGAAGATGGTGTACATCTCTGAGGGTGTGGGGCAGGGCGGGGAGCTGCCGGTGGGTGCTGAGCACCCAACAATTTTTTTCCATGGGTGCTCCAGCCCCGGAGCACCCACGGAGTCGGCACCTATGTTTCCTTGTCCAAAGAGTCTAGCAACTTGAGTGTTTCTCTTCTTTTGGGAAGCATACTTTATGCATTTACTCTTTACAAGAGCTTCCCAAAAGATGGTATCTGAGGTAACTGATTGCTTATTTTCTTGTGTGAAGTTAGAGATGACTGAATCAACCGTGGAATAAAATGTTGCATCATTTAGTAGCAGCGCGTTCAGCTTCCACCTAGAAGATTTTAATCATGTGTAACCAAAGTCTATGGTCAATATAATGGAAACATGATCTGAAATTAATATATTATCAATAGCTGCTTCTAGATGTCCTGGAATCAGTAATGAAGACACAAGAAAAAAGTCAATTCTGGAGTAAGATGAATGTACTGTAGAAACATATGTACAGTCACACTCCTTGCTGTATCTCAGTCTTCCTATATCTTTTAAAGCAAGTTCATTCATTAACAATGAGGGTTGGCCTATGGCGCTTTGAGATCTGGGTCTCATGTAATTGGATTTGTCCAGATGTCTATCTAGTGTAGTATTCCAATCACTTCCCAATATTATAGGAACATTTTTTATTAGAAAGAACATCTGCAATGTCTTTGAAAACATCAAAACTACCTCCGCTTGGATTGTAAATGCTTCCTAGAATTAACCTTTTTGAGTTGAAACAGCCTTCAAGAAGAACATATTTTCCTACAGGATCAGACCAAGACTGTATACATTCAAAAGTTATACTTTTATGAATTAAGATGGATGTGCTTCTGCTCTTAGAATTCAACGAAGAAAGATACTCAACACCTACCTACATCTTCTTGATTCTACTTGTATCTATTTCTGCTAGCTGAGTTTCCTACAGTAAAGCTACTTGGCACTTTTTCAATCCGAAGCATCTCAGGATTCTAATTCTTATGGAAGGTTGATTAAGTCCACTTACATTCCAGGAGCACACTTTAAGCAAATTCATGGCAAAGTTTTAAAAGATATATTAAGATATATAACCTTATTCTAAAGATACATATTTCCCTGTTGATATTCTACAGCCATATTTCTAGGACATGGTCTGTATTTATATATATTAGATACTGTTTAGTTTTGAATGAATTTATGCCTTCAGTTGAGCCTCTAAGAATGTCAGGTATACAGAAAGATCTATAGTTAAATATCATGTGTCTTCCAAAGTATATTTGTAACAGAAACCAACCAAACAAAAAATTAATAGCCATAAAACAAGCCAGTTTGGGCACATTCAGATCCCTGATGGCTTCAGTTCCATCTGCTCCTCCCCTCCCTATATTATCTAATACTAGTCTTTTTCTAAATACAAATATATTTTAGGTCAAATATTACCCTGTAAATACCATTGGGCAGACTAGAATGAATATATATATATATATATATTTCTACAGAAGATTTTATGTATACATACACATATGTAGATGCATATACATATATACAGACTCATCACATGTAAATTTACAATTGATTTGGTAAATCAAATATAAATTAGTACAAAACCTTAGTATGAAAAATAAAATTGGTTATAGTCTACTTTACATGTCAGGAGTGTTGACTGTTCCAAGGGACTTGTGGTCACCATAACATAATCCATCATAGGCAAAGTTAGTGAAGAGATTCTGCCCAGCAGTACAAGCTGTGATGATTAGTGTTGATAATACTTCAGTCAGTAGATGGTGTTATAAACCCCAGTTTAGTGTTAAACTGTTAGTCTATGCATTCCCATGCTATGCAGTTGTTGTTGCTCAGTTCCAAAGGATATCAGAAGAAGAGTTCAGTATAGCTGGTTATCTGCTAGGAGTTGGAAGATTATATAAGGCTACATCTACACTACAGGGGGGAGTCGATTTAAGATACGCAAATTCAGCTACGTGAATAGCGTAGCTGAATTCGACGTATCGCAGCCGACTTACCCCGCTGTGAGGACTGCGGCAAAATTGACCTCCGCGGCTTCCTGTCGACGGCGCTTACTCCCACCTCCGCTGGTGGAGTAAGAGCGTCGATTAGGGGATCGATTGTTGCGTCCCGACGGGACGCGATAAATCGATCCCCGAGAGGTCGATTTCTACCCGCCGATTCAGGCGGGTAGTGTAGACCTAGCCTAAGTTAATATTACCATATCTACAAGGATACACATGAAAACAAAGTGATTTTTAAACTTGTTGAGGTATGCTTTTCATGATGAAAAAAACATTTTGCTATTTTTGGTCAAATCTGGTGTCAGTATTTGAAAGTTTCTGCCAAGCTTCAGAGGGGTTTTTGCAAAATCTTGTGAAGCCTACTAAATCCATAGTGAAGGTGGGTGGGTACTTGATGCTGTATCTGACATTGGTCCCCTTCAGGATTTACTTTATGCCATTGAATGCAGCCATCTTTTTGTTTAGAACAGCTGGGAAGTCAGGAAAAAAAATGGTGGCCTTTAAACAGAAGGGTTTCAGCCTTCTGGCAGCATTCATTAACATTGCTTTATCCATAAATTTCAGCAGCTTGAAGATGATAGGGTGTGGGCTTGCCAGACTCCTGCCCTCCAGTACCAGTCATTTGATGAGCCCTTTCAATATCTAATAGGCACAACTTGGGGGTCCAATTTATGTCGGGTAGCAGTTTCTGAAGAAAGCTTATAATATCCTTCCCCTCTAGACCCTCAGCAGTGCCCAAAAGGCGAGGTTGTTTCTTTGAGATCTGTTTTCTAAGTCTTCCTGTTAACGCGGAAGCTTCTTCATTCATTTTCCTGGTTTCAATGACAAACTTTTGTAGCTCTTTTTTCAAGAGAGCCATTTGGGATTTTACATCACATATATCTTTACAGAGACCACAAATATCTTTTGAGATTGAATCCAGTCAGACTGTGAGGAATTCTTTTAGTGCTGCGATATCCTGGCCTAGATTCTGCTGCGGCCTTGCAGTCTCCCCCTTCAGCTGCTTAGGTGATTCAGGCATAGGTCTTTTGTTGCCTCTCATGTTTTCATTAGAATCCATAGTCAAGAGTTTGAAGTTTATCCAGGGGATTAATTTAAGCTTTTATGACAGAAACTTACTTGATAATTTGTTAGGAATGTAATTATTAGAGATGGATTGATGGATTGATATGTAGGGAGTGAGGAGGTCCAGGACTAAGCAGCCATCTTCTTCATGAGTACCATGTGACACCTCCCGCTCCCCAGATCTCCTTTTTATTTACACTTATGCAAAGTGGGTGTAAAATACTAACAAATTAGCATTCTTCACATTCTTACACTGCTAATAATAATTTACATTTCCTGTGCACAGGTGTCAATAATGACACAGCGTGCAAGGCAGTGGAGAATCAGGCCCAAGATGTTGCCTTACAGTTGGCTGGAGAAGGTACCCAAATGCTTCTAAGAATGGACAAATCAGGCAGTCCCTCTTTCCCTGGAGGACCTTGCCAGCAGTACCGTTTGCAGACATTAATTTTAGTATCTCTGGATGAAGACCTCTATTTTCTATGGTCTCCCCTGGCTGACTCTAAACTAAATCCAGAGCTCCAATCAGAAAACATAGGAAAAAGGTCCATTTCCCTCCTGGAGTCACAGTTTTATCTGGTACAATCTTTACATTAACCCTAGAGTTGGGTGTTGCAAGAGGAGCTCCATGGCATGCAGGGAAAAACTGGTAGGGCTCTCAAACAAACCTATGGATGAAGTACATGCATTAATACATTTAGTCTCTCAACATTGTAGTGAAGTAGAAAAGTGTCTCTTTTCACAAATGGGGTAAGCGAGGCTCACAGAGAGATCATATGATCATATTATGCAGGAAGTCTGTGGCAGAACTAGATATAGATCCCAGCTCTCCTGAATTGCAGTCCTGTATTTAAGAACACAATTATTGTTGCATCCTTATGAATGGAGGCTTTGATTTTTGCTTTACCTTACAAATGAGTTCTAGAAATCTAGCTCTATTTTCAATTTCTTCTGTGCTATTTGTAATCTAATCTTTCAAGTATACATCATTATGATAATTTACATCAGTAATTTGGTTTTACTCATTAAATTGCTGCCTTTTCTTTTTAAAGATAGGGCATATTTAATGGCCGCATTATATAATGTACAGCCAACCAGGAATATCCTGCACTCTTTTGAAAGGCAGTTTAGTAATTTTCCAGCAAATTTATCTAAGCATCTAAATCTCATTTTTAAGATACCAAATGTTCTTTCAATTATCATTCTGGTCATTTTTTTGAGTTTCATTATAATTTATAATGAAATAGTTTTCAGAGATAGTCTGTAGATGAGACAGAAGAGAAATTAGGCAGTTTTTCAAGGGATATCCAATGTCATCTGAAAAATTGGTTTAAAAAACTCTCCAAACCTGCAGTACTTTATATTTGAGCACCTAGATAGCTGCTTCCTGAGAAGCCATCCTTGTTGAGAATTGCCTTTTGCAAACAACAGTAAAATGTTTGTCTTTCAAATATGTATATATAATTAAAATATATTTGGAGTAAAAGTTCATATTGCACAGGATTTTACTACCATGACTCCAGTTAAAAAGTCAACCATTCACACAGCTGTAACTCAGTGAAGTGCTTTGAAATGTACTTAATAAACAAAAATGACCTCAAACTAATAAAATCTACCATTACAATTAAGATGTATACATGCCTTAACTGAGTAACTGCATGATCTCAGTATTGTAACCTTAGTCTCACGCCTCCTCTTACCCTTATTTGTTTTGTCATATCCAAGGCCCTGATTCTGCTACCCCACTGGTGAGAACATGTGTGTGTCTCTCTCTCCCCCCATCCCCTGCTGCCTCTCTTCAGAAGCATCAGTAGCAGGTCATGAATCAATTGCTATTCATAGATTCAAGGACTGAAAGGGACCTCAAGAGGTCATCGAGTCCAGTCCCCTGCCCGCATGGCAGGACCAAATACTGTCTAGACCATCCCTGATAGACATTTATCTAACCTACTCTTAAATATCTCCAGAGATGGAGATTCCACAACCTCCCTAGGCAATTCATTCCAGTGCTTAACCACCCTGACAGTTAGGAACTTTTTCCTAATGTCCAACCTAGACCTCCCTTGCTGCAGTTTAAACCCATTGCTTCTGGTTCTATCCTTAGAGGCTAAGGTGAACAAGTTTTCTCCCTCCTCCTTATGACACCCTTTTAAATACCTGAAAACTGCTATCATGTCCCCTCTCGGTCTTCTCTTTTCCAAACTAAACAAACCCAATTCTTTCAGCCTTCCTTCATAGGTCATGTTCTCAAGAGCTTTAATCATTCTTGTTGCTCTTCTCTGGACCCTTTCCAATTTCTCCACATCTTTGTTAAAATGCGGTGCCCAGAACTGGACACAATACTCTAGCTGAGGCCTAACCAGCGCAGAGTAGAGCGGAAGAATGACTTCCCATCTAAATCATCCCAGCCAGGGCTTTGTCAAGCCGG